GATTCTCGCTGTGATTGGTATAAAAATGGCTGTCTTCTGGGATATTAAATCTAGTAGTCTTCATCATTAGCGCCTTGATAATACAGGCAGTAAGGCTTCTCTAAAATATTTAACAGACTGCACAGTGCAATATCCCAGAAGACAGTCATCCTCATACCAAAAATTGATTAAGAATATAAATCAGTCTATAGGACAGGAACTAAATGATTTAACTTAAGCTAACTAACTTCCTGGTAGTAGAATCTGCAGGTTCAACACCGACAACAACAAAATCCCTCCACTGGCGATGTTCCTGAGTCAACTCCATCCATTTGTCATCCCCACAGCCAAACTGCCTAAAATCCATCTTCATGTTATTCTCCCGTCTCCTTCTTGGTCTGCCCAGTGGTCGTTTTCCAGAAGGATTCCTACCGAAATTCTGCATGCACCTCTTGCCCCCCATGCGTGCTAAATGTCCAGTCCACCGGAGTCTCCTAGATTTCACTATCCTCACTATGCTAGGTGAACCGTACAATTAACGCAGGTCCTCGTAATGTAATATTCTAAATTCCCCACTTATTTAAACCTTCTTAGGTCCAAATGTCCTCCTAAGCACCCTGTTATCAAACACTTGTAATCTAAGTTCTTCCTTAAAGGTAAGAGACCATGTTTCACAACCATACAAGACAACAGATAAAATGCAGGAAATAAAAAAAATGCAAACAAAAATATTTAGAACACGTGACAAAAATGAAAATACAAAGAAATTTATAAATGATGCTAGACTAACAGACTTTCAGGGAGAAAAATTGGAAAATCATTCACAAAGAATGGGGTCGGAACAGGCGACGTTGAATATAATTAAAATGACAAATAAAGAGTGGCACTGAGCACTGTCAGCATTAATTCAAACACTAAATATAAATAAATATTAAAATTACGTTTTTAACTGCAGACACTGTACACTACTTAAAGTTTTTACTTTTTATGGACTGATATATTCCTGCACAAATTCTTCATTTAGAAATGAAGTCTCAATCGCTAGGCTAATTCAGGTCGATATTATTACACACTTCAAATATAAGCAGTTTGCATTAAAAATTGGGCTACATAACGTGAAATTAAATCGAGATATTTGTTTATGCCATGTTGGAGAAAGTAACAATTAGCAGATGTTATCATTATCTCTCGCAAGATCATACCCTAAAATTATCTCTTGTCTGGCAAACTTCTCTGAAGTTATTCCAAAATCGTGACAGAATTAAAAGACGAAGTGAAGAAGATTCTTTACTATGATTGCTACAGCAACTGAATGTATAACAATATCAAGTCCTGCGCAGTGACATTTTGATTTCGGTACCTCAACTCTCACTAATTTCAATGTGCATTTAGGCGATTAAATAAGTGAAAAAATGTAGAAAATTGTATAACAAGAAACTTTGTAGTTTACAATGACTAATACGTTCGTCTATAAATAACAAATAACAATGTTCGGAAAAGAATAAAAATGCAAGAATAATATTAGGGAATTCTGCTGATAAATATTTAAAAGCGGAGTTAGATGCATGATGTTGGAGCAAATGAGTGGGAAACACGTTCTGTTGGATGACATTGGATTTAGCGTCTGCCACATTTGAGAGCTGTAATTATTGTATAGAGTGAGAGAGTGTTCATTAATCATTTTAAAGATACACTAGTCTACGATAGTTTATTTAAATTTATTCAAGGTAATGTGAATTGAAATAAAAGAGTTTGCCATTATAGAGGAGCATTATAACAAAGTTACTTCTTACAAATAACAACCGCCAGTTGTCCATCAAGTCTAAAAAACCGATTTATAACTTTCCATTACGAGCAATAAAATGGCCAATTTAATAAAAATTTCCTTGGATATTATCCA